AAATGTCCATCAACAGATGACTGGATAAAGAAGATGTAGTATATTTATACAATGGAATACTATTCAACCTTAAAAACCGACAACATAAGGCCATTTGCAGCAACATGGATGTTACTGGAGAATGTCATTGTAAGTGAAGTAAGCCAGAAAGAGAAAGAAGAATACCATATGAGATCGCTCACATGTGGAATCAAAAAAAAAAAAAAAAAAAGAACATACATACAAAACAGAACTCATAGACATAGAATACAAACTTGTGTTGCCAAGGGTGGGGTGGCTCACAGCGAAAAAAATGTGACAAAGAATATATGTATGTTCATGTATAACTGAAAAATTGTGCTCTACACAGGAATTTGACACAACATTGTAAAATGACTATAACTCAATAAAAAAGTGTTAAAAAAAATCCCTGATCAATAGAGACAAACTGAGAAGACTCAAAAATGAAGGGACATTAAAAAAAATGCAGTGTAATTACAATCACAACAGCATTTTGTGTGGATTAACAAAAGCATTAAATAAAGTTCATGTGGAAGGAAATAATATAAAAATGAGCCCAGAAGCATCTGAAAAGAAAGAACTGCCCTACATGATGCCAAACCTTACGAATAAATCTACTGTATTTAAAACAGAAAAGCACTGGCACAGTAATAAACAAAGCAACAGACCAGAGAAACAGATCCAATTATCTATGATAACTCAGCATATAAAAAAGTAGGCACTTTATGTAGTTGGAAAATAACAAATAATCCAATGAGTTTCAGGGAATTAAATAAAAAATAATTACTCCCTTATCTTACCCTATACATGTACACCTCAACATTATCACAACTGATCATTTTTTAAATTATGTGGCTATTTTAGAAATTTTTGCTGATTATAAGAAACTAACGTAAAGTGGCCCTTAGTGTCCATGGGGGATTGGCTCCAGGATCCCCAGCAGAGACCAAAACCCACGGAAGCTCAAGTCCCTCATATAAAACGTCACAGTACACTCGGCCCCCTGTGTCTGCGGGCTCTGCATCCACGGATGTCAATGTGATCTGTGGTTCGCTGAAACCACAGATGAGGAGCCTGTGGATATGGAGGGCTGACTGTATGTATTAAGCAAATACAAATATATATGTTGAAGCTATATATTTGGAAAAAAGAGATTCCAAATGTATTAAAACCTAAACATAGAGCTATATATCAGTGTAAACCATGTAAAATTGCCAATTGAGTCAGGCAAAAATGATCAAATAGTGGCAATTTAATACAGGTCAACATAATCAAAAGAATTCTGAAAAGACAGTAGTAGCAGCAGGACTTCAGCTTCCCTTAGCCCCCCACAAAAAAACAGAACAACTAAGACGACAAAATCAAAACTTCATGAGACACACTTACAGTAAACTAGGTGAAAGGTACCTTCATGAACTCCAGAACAGAAGATGTGGGGAAGAACAGATGTTCCTCAGACACACGTCATACCCCACACCCACACCCCATACCCCACACCCAAGCAGTACCCCAGACCCCTGCCTGCAGCACCTGTGCAGGGGCATCAGAGGGGATTAACAGAGTATCTGATGGGGCTAAAGGGACAAATTCCAAATCACCAATGAATACTCAATAGAGAGCTCACGGCTTCTATTTGAGGACTTCATGACACTGGGAGTGGCTACAGCACAGATTCTGGCGTGAAGTCAACGGCGTGAAGTCAAAAAAAGCACACTGTCATCAGGCTTTGCAATCTCAGTGCTTTATGGCAAAAGATAATGGGTAACATACACTAAATTTATTCAGGGAAAGAAAATACAAGCAAAATATTGTATGGCCAGCCGAACAGTCCTTCAA